CTAATTAAAATTCTGACTATAGTTTTCAATTTAAAATACGTTTAGTACGGTTGACGGTCGTCGAAGGAATGGTCACCCTGGGAGACGCCTTGTCGGACGAAATCGCATCGAAGCAATTCGTCTCGTAATTTTCTGCGTTGCGAATTTGCATCGCAGTTTTGTGTACGGGCCCTTTGATACACAGGCTTTGTATAACTCGGTGCATCTTTTTAATGGGCGAAAATCATCGAGTGACATCTCCCGCCTGGGTGAAGCGGGAGGGAGTGTCAGACTCTTACTGATTAAAAACCACCCCGTTCCTACTCCTGCCCGAGCCGGAGCCGGAGCCCCGGTTACCCGTTAGGTTCTCCGCGACATAACTCAGTGCATAGGTAAAAAATAAAACAAAATAAATCGAAAAAAATAATAATTTATTAAATAAAAAGTTCTTTATGCATTACAAATTAGCTTAAAATTATATTTTAGCAGCCGATAATTAAATTTATCGCATAATATACAATGTTTGATTGTGAAATGGTAATATTTTGGAGTCCATACAACCCATACAGCAATATACAAATCACACTAATATTATAAACTAGCGACCCGCCCTGGCTTCACACGGGTGCAATATGCAAGTATTATACATATAAACCTTCTTTAAGAATCACTCTATCTATAAAAAAAACCGCATCAAAATCCGTTGCGCAGTTTTAAAGATCTAAGCATACATACGGACAGACAGACAGCGGATAGCGACTTTGTTTTATACTATGTAGTGATGTGAATGTATATTGCTATTTGCCACTAAAAATCCTCAGACGGCCTGATTCCGACAGTGGGCAAAACTTACTTTGACTATTATCATTATAAGTTTAGTTTAAAAACTGCATCTTGTATAGACAATCTCTACACTACACGAGTCACTGTTGACATGTCAACATTAGCTCATGACGATACCAGCGTACGTGTGTCACTGGACAGTGAACCTCGCTACCATCAGTTGACTGGACAATCTCTACACTACACGAGTCACTGTTTACATGTCAACATTAGCTCATGACGATACCAGCGTACGTGTGTCACTGGACAGTGAACCTCGCTACCATCAGTTGACTGGACATCTACACTACACGAGTCACTGTTTACATGTCAACATTAGCTCATGACGATACCAGCGTACGTGTGTCACTGGACAGTGAACCTCGCTACCATCAGTTGACTGGACAATCTCTACACTACACGAGTCACTGTTTACATGTCAACATTAGCTCATGACGATACCAGCGTACGTGTGTCACTGGACAGTGAACCTCGCTACCATCAGTTGACTGGACAATCTCTACACTACACGAGTCACTGTTTACATGTCAACATTAGCTCATGACGATACCAGCGTACGTGTGTCACTGGACAGTGAACCTCGCTACCATCAGTTGACTGGACAATCTCTACACTACACGAGTCACTGTTTACATGTCAACATTAGCTCATGACGATACCAGCGTACGTGTGTCACTGGACAGTGAACCTCGCTACCATCAGTTGACTGGACAATCTCTACACTACACGAGTCACTGTTTACATGTCAACATTAGCTCATGACGATACCAGCGTACGTGTGTCACTGGACAGTGAACCTCGCTACCATCAGTTGACTGGACAATCTCTACACTACACGAGTCACTGTTTACATGTCAACATTAGCTCATGACGATACCAGCGTACGTGTGTCACTGGACAGTGAACCTCGCTACCATCAGTTGACTGGACAATCTCTACACTACACGAGTCACTGTTTACATGTCAACATTAGCTCATGACGATACCAGCGTACGTGTGTCACTGGACAGTGAACCTCGCTACCATCAGTTGACTGGACAATCTCTACACTACACGAGTCACTGTTTACATGTCAACATTAGCTCATGACGATACCAGCGTACGTGTGTCTCTGGACAGTGAACCTCGCTACCATCAGTTGATTGGACAATCTCTACGCTACACAGACTTCAAAAAAAGGAGTCTCAATCTTACCTGTATGTATGTATGTGCGGTATTACCACGCGATTGGCTGAACAGATTTCGATGCGTATTCAGAAAAGTGTTAGTTACTGTTAAAATATTGAAATCAAAATAGAACGCAAACTAGTTTGTATTCTCGCCACTGGTGGCGCTGTTTTTATTTGTATCGAGCTATGTTCTTTTTTTATTTTTTTTTTTAAATCTATGGGTGTGTACCGTACGTCTTTGAGTGATACTGTTTGATTGGAACTGATCTCAGAAATAAACTTATTTGTAAACTATTACACAGTTTTACTCTTTTTTTTAAGGGGGGAAAATCATTGAATGACTTCTCCCGCCTGGGTGAGACGGGAGGGAGTGTCAGACTTTTACTGACTAAAAACCATCCCGTTCCTTCTCCTGCACATCGAGCCGGAGCCCCGGTTACCCGTTAGGTTCTCCGCGACACCGAATCGGCATCGGCCCTATTGGGCCCCATCTGTGGTGGTCTGATGGCTCTTTGAGGCGCGAGGACACAGTTTTACTCTAGAACCACATTTTCCTTCAGTTACACTTAAGAGAAGGATTTAGTATATTAATTAAACTGTCAAACACCGCGAGGACACCGGTGACCGCAACCTATTGTTCTATAATTGTGTCTATAATGACGGTACTCGACGAGTTAACCGACTTCAAAAAAGAGGGGGTTTTAATCGTAGTTTATGAAAGACGTATAAAGGTGTAACATTTTATTATCCGCATTATAAAAAGCAATATACCTACCCTACCTACAATTGTAAAGCGTGATAGTTGATTAAGTTTTGTTGTACAGAGCCGTATTATCCCTAAGGCGAACTAGACAAGTGCCGGGCGCCAGCAGCTGTAGCCAAATGCCATTTAGCGCTTGTCTACATGTAGAATAGAAAACCAAATTATATGGGATTGGCGTAAATTTGCTCATTAACCGAGTGGTCGCAAGTGCGAGTGCCGGGCAAGGGGTCTCGGGTTCGATTCCCGGGTCGGGCAAAGTATTACTGGGTTTTTAAAAATCCTCAGTAGTAGCTCGGAGTCTGGAATTGTGTTCGGTATATGGCAATAGGCTCACATGGGACTCATAACATAAATAGTGAAAAGTGGATGTTACATTGTACAGTGGTATAATGTGCACCTCTGCCTACCCCTTCGGGGATAAAAGGCGTGATGTTATGTGACGTAAATTTTGACACTTGTCAGTGTCATCCCCATACATTTAGTTTTCTACTCTCTCTGTAGACAAGCGCTAAAGTGGCGTTTGGCTAAAGACAACTAAATGTAGACGCCCGCTTCTCATGCATGAGGGTGCGGCTCCGAAACCTACCAACGGCAAGTACCAATGTGACTTTTTCCGAGTTATATGTACTTTCTAATATTATCTAGACACCACTGACAAACGGTGAAGGAACACATCGTGAGGAAACCTGGACTTATAATTTCTAATTATAAGTTTGTAATCGCCAACCCGCATTGAGCAAGCGTGGTGATTAATGCTCAAACCTTCTCCGTGTGAGAAGAGGCTTTGCTCAGCAGTGGGCATTTATAGGCTGTTGATGATATAATTTAGTTTTCTATTCTACATGTAGACAAGCGCTAAATGGCATTTGGCTACAGCTGCTGGATACAGAGGGGCGCCGCGAGACGCGCGTTTACAACTGTACATAGAGTGACGGCGGCGACAAAAATATTAGGGGCGCCAAAACGCTTGCCTAGGGCGCTCACTAGGTTTAATACACCTCTGTATTCGTAATATATTTCGTAAATTTATTTTGTTGTTTATACGAATTTATTTCACAATTGATTTCCATGACTTTTATATATTTTGAAAGGGTAAAAGAGCAGACGGATCACCTGATGGTAAGCAATCTGCGCACATGGACGCCCGCAACGCTAGAGGCGTTACAAGTGCGTAATAATATTTCGTATAAACAAAAAATAATGTTCTTATGAAGATTTTAATATTAAATGCAAAATAAATAACATTATTTGTATTGTAACTTTCGTGAGACATACTTAATAAATAATTATGTTTTCGACTTACTCACGTAATAATTCGACGAGGAACTCGACTAGTTTCAAGCCATGCTAGAGGCTCATATTCATGAGCAGCATTTCGAGCGACTGGCTACTCGAGTCTGCGGGCCCAGCGCGCCCTCTGCTGTGATTCCTGGCATTCGCTGGGCCCGCAGACTCGAGTAGCCAGTCGCTCGAAATGCTGCTCATGAATATGAGCCTCTAGCATGGCTTGAAACTAGTCGAGTTCCTCGTCAAATAAACGTGAGTAAGTCGAAAAGCATAATAATATATAAATAACATTTTTACTGTTGTGTATATTTAGGAGTCATCACGTAACATCTTTTAATCCCCGAATTTAGAGAGAGACGAACGCTTCTGAAAAACGCCGCCATGGTAAGAAACTGTTTTATTTTCATAGATGTAAGGAAAAAGGACTAATTTTTATTTCAATGTCCGTCTGGTACATTATTTTAAATCATTACACACGTATTTTTTATTTTGTCACAGAAACGAATACTTTCGACGATATATTGATTTGAAATATCGCATGACGTCACTTTTGAGTACGATTTGTACTCTAAAACGTATTTTTTTATTTTGTCGTATAATAAAATAATGTTTATCGTATAACAAAGTGTCGTATAACAAAAAAATCTTTGTTTCTGTAAGAAAATAAAAAATACGTGTCTAATGTCAAAGTCAAATATTCAATTAGATCAGAAAGGCACTTTTGAATGTCAACAAAAAAAATTAAAAGTGAAGCTATTTGCTCATTCCAATGTGTAGATTCCTATGGAGAAGAACGAGCAAGAAACTCCATAGGTTACTCTTTTTCAATCAGGTTCACGATACAATTCTCTAGTTACATAGTTTTGTTGTTTGGATTGTGCGAGAACAATGTAACACTAAAATACAGTCAAAAAGAAAATAACCTTAAGGACAATAATACAGTCTGGAGCTGACTAGTCCCAGTTGACGGCGCGTTAATGATTTAAAATAATCTACCAGACGGACATTAAAATAAAGATTAGTCATCTACCCTTTAGATGAGGCTTGGGGTTATGTAACCACGAAATGACCTTGAATATGGTTATACTATTACATTATAATATATAATAATTATATAATTATATATAAATAAACTAGAATGTCTTGCGATGTACTGCCCTGTGTCCTTCCTCGTCATACTCTCTTTTCGAGACCCACATTTTACGGAATGTATCGAGTGAAGCGAGAATCGAACCCCCTATCCACGTGGAGTAGAGACGCTCTTGAGGTGCTGAGATCTGTGAAAGGAAAGATATATTTTTATAATAACTATCGCGAGACATAGTATAGAAGGAGGCCCTATTACATAGACAAGCCGTATCTATATTTAAATTCCACAGGGACAAATTCCAATAGGAATATGTGATACCTTTGTACTTTATATTTATACTAGCGACCCGCCCCGGCTTCGCACGGGTGCAATATGCATGTATTATACATACAAACCTTCCTTAAGAATCACTCTATCTATTAAAAAAAACCGCATCAAAATCCGTTGCGTAGTTTTAAAGATCTAAGCATACATACGGACATACAGCGAAAGCGACTTTGTTTTATACTATGTATTGATATGTGTTGTCCTTTATGTTGTATATGTGTACGAAGCCGGTAAACGAGCAGACGGATCACCTGATGGTAAGCAACCGGCGTCGCCCATGGACACCTGGAACACCAGAGGCGTTACAAGTGCGTCACCGGCTTTTTGGGGATTAGGAGTTTGAGGATCGTTGGGGATTCAGGGATTGGGGAGTTTGGGGAAGGGGAAGGTAATTGGGCCTCCGGTAACCTCACTCACACGACGAAACACAACGCAAGCGTTGCTTCACGTCGGTTTTCTGCTCAGCCGTGGTATCACTCCGGTCGAGCCGGCCCATTCGTGCCGAAGCATGGCTCTCCCACACTTGCGTCCATAAATACATAAATTATGATTGTAAGAAATGATGTGATACTGACAAACGGTGAAGGAAAACATCGCGAGGAGACCTGGGCTTATAATTTCTAATTATAAGTTTGAAATCGCCAACTCGCATGGTGATTAATGCTGAAACTCTTAAAGAAGATGCCTTTGGTCACTTAAAGGCTAAGATAAAATCAAGTCACTCACCCTAATCTTCATGTCTTTAGGCGCTAGTCTCCTAATTTCGGCTAAAAGGCGATCTCCAAAGCCTCTGAAGAGGGTACTGCCACCGCTGAGTACTATATTCTGGTATAGTACTTTTCGCAAATCCATATCGGATTTTTGTATGGCAAACATTAAAACTTCGTGTAGACCTGAAAATAGAAAATACATAGGAATATTTTTACCAGCTACTCTTTCGCGATTTTCTGCCTCGTTGGCCGAGTTGTTGCAAGTGCGCCTGCCGGGCAAGGGGTCTCGGATTCGATTCCCGGGTCGGTCAAAGTATTACTGAGGTTTTCTAAAGAAATTCTCAGTAGGTAGTAGCACGGAGTCTGGAATTGTGCCCGGTAAGTATATGGCAATGCGCCTTTAGGCTTAATTCATTCTGTCTCCTGCAGTAATTCAGCGAGGGAAATGGAAACTATAGTTGTTTTCTTCTTCTCTTATAATATCTTCTGATTCACTTCGTTGCGGGAACCAAGACAGTTACTCATGTCCCTGGGACGTTGGACTTCAGTGTTCCGGTGTTTTCATGGTTGTATCTACTGTAGATCCTGGTGCACAGGAGCTGCAGCGGTTTTGGGAGGCTGTGGCGGGCTTGTCCCAATTTAAAAAAAAGTATATGGCAATGCTCACCCCTATTACATGGGACTCATAAAATAAATAGTGAAAAGTAGGTGTTACATTGTATAGTGGCATTAAGTGCCGTAATGTGCACCTCTGCCTACCCCTTCGGGGATAAAGGGCGTGATGTTATGTAATTCAGATTCTTTGAATTGCTACATAATTCGTTACGAATCAACTTCTAAATTAAGCATGTAAGTTTATTACTCTTTAACGCAATAACTACTGAATAGATTTTAATGAAACTAGGTTCACAGATAGACCATATAGTTGTTTTTTTTTTAAGGGGGGAAAATCATCGAATGTCTGCTCCCGCCTGGGTGAGGCGGGAGGGAGTGTCAGACTCTTACTGACTAAAAACCACCCCGTTCCTTCTCCTGCACGTCGAGCCGGAGCCCCGGTTACCCGTTAGGTTCTCCGCGACCCGTGTCGCGGGTTCGATTCCCGCACGGAACAACTCTTTGTGTGATCCACAAATGGTTGTTCCGGGTATGTGTGTCATGTGTATGTGAACTTGTATGTTTATAACCGCACCCACGACACAGGAGCATTTATTTTAAGAATAATTTATAGTACTTTAAACTCCGATAAAATTAGAGTAAAGTAAACAATATCTTAAAATATGTTGTCAACATACCTTCGCTCTCTTCACCGATGAGATCGGGCCGGAACAGGACCTCGGGGGCGCGGAACCGAGCTGGACCAATCTGAAATTATTTTACAGTCATATGACTATCTTTAAATGATTTTCGCGAGCATTTATGTCGCGGTGGCCCGGAGGTTTCTCATGCATGAGGGTGCGGGTTCGAAACCTACCAACGGCAAGTACCAATGTGACTTTTTCCGAGTTATATGTACTTTCTAAGATTATCTAGACACCACTGACAAACGGTGAAGGAAAACACCGTGAGGAAACCTGGGCTTATAATTTCTAATTATAAGTTTGAAATCGCCAACCCGCATTGAGCAAGCGTGGTGATTAATGCTCAAACTTTCTCTGTGTGAGCAGAGGCTTTGCTCAGCAGTGGGCTTTTATATGTTTAACCCTTACTGACTAAAAACCACCCTGTTCCTACTCCTGCACTTGGAGCCGGAGCTCCGGTAATCTGTTAAGTCCTCCGCGGCTCCGTATCAGCATCAGCCCAACTGGGGCCCATCTGTGGTGGTCTGATGGCTCTTTGAGGTGCGCGGACCGTTGGGCGCCGTACGCTCGGGTCTGGTTTGACCGTCCGACCAAACCCGTAAGACCTCATTCATCCTTACTAATATTATAAATCGGAAAGTGAGTTTGTTTGTTTGTTCCGCTTTCACGCCGTAACTACTAAACCGATTGCTTTGAATTTTTACAGACGTAAAGTTAGAAGTCCGAATTAACTCGTCGAGTACCGTCATTATAGACACAATTATAGAACAATAGGTTGCGGTCACCGGTGACCGCTTGGTGTATGACAGTTTTAACTCGTCGAGTACCGTCATTATAGACACAATTATAGAACAATAGGTTGCGGTCACCGGTGTCCTCGCGGTGTTTGACAGTTTAAATAACAGGGTACTTTTTATCCCGGAAAAATGTGATATTTCCGAGGGAAAACAAAAGTATTGGTATAGATGGCGCTGTGTGTATTGGTATATGTCACATAGACTACTTTTTATCCTTTTGTGACGCGAGCGAAGCCGCGGGTATAAGCTAGTACTATGATAAATGTACAATTACCTCCAATCCGGTACCATCAGGGAGTGTGTATTGTGCCCTCTCAGTTTCCAGCGTTTCCTCTTTCAGAGGGTTCGGAGAGAGGTAGCAGGCCCTCTCTTTGATCGACTTCACGATCTCCAGCTCAGCTGAAGTGCGAAGGTTCACCCCTTCTTTGCGGAGCAGTAGTCTGGAATGAAAATAATAATAATTAATATTAAGTCGCTCGCAGAAGCTTATTAATATCTATTCCATCATTGTCCAGAGTAAGCAGAAAGCATAAGAAATATCATCGCCGGGAAAAAATTCCAATCGACGCAAGCAATATTATCGTTATGTAACGTATGGGGCCCTATATGGGTCAGTAGCGCCTTAAATTCGAAGTCAATCGAGCGTTCTTGAAAACTATTGAGCGTCCACGATCACATTCGAGAGTCGAACTCGAAAACTATCGAGCGTCCTCGATCACTTCTATCGAGCGTCCTCGATCACTTACAAACATCCTCGAAAACTATCGAGCGTCCTCGATCACTTTCGAGCGTCCTCGAAAACAATCGGGCGTCCTCGATCACTTTCGAGCGTCCTCGAAAACGATCGAGCGTCCTCGATCACTTTCGAGCGTCCTCGAAAACAATCGAGCGTCCTCGAAAATGATAGCGTCCTCGATCACTTTCGAGCGTCCTCGATCACTTTCGAGCGTCCTCGAAAACGATCGAGCGTCCTCGAAAACGATCGAGCGTCCTCGATCACTTACGAGCGTCCTCGATCACTTTCGAGCGTCCTCGAAAACAATCGGGCGTCCTCGATCACTTTCGAGCGTCCTCGAAAACAATCGAGCGTCCTCGAAAACGATCGAGCGTCCTCGAAAACGATCGAGCGTCCTCGATCACTTTCGAGCGTCCTCGAAAACCATCGAGCGTCCTCGAAAACGATCGAGCGTCCTCGAAAACAATCGAGCGTCCTCGAAAACAATCGAGCGTCCTCGAAAACGATCTAGCGTCCTTGAAAACCAACGAGCATCCTCGAAAACGATCGAGCGTCCTCGAAAACAATCGAGCGTCCTCGATCACTTTCTAAACTTACTCGAAATCTATAGAGAATTCTATCATTTTCGACTATCGCAGGAGACGCTTTTGGTGTAGTATCGCGTCGCCTTCTCAGCCACCGTAAGCGCGAGTCTGCGGACGGCAAGCGAGTATCACCTGACACGTAGCAGACCCGAGCGTACGGAGCGTCGTGTAAAATGCGGGAAAATGCGGGCCTCAGAGTCATTACTTCATCAGATACCACAGACGGACCCACCAGGATTGTTAACTTGCTAGAGGGTTTTTTTTTAAGGGGGGAAAATCATCGAATGACTGCTCCCACCTGGGTGAGGCGGAAGGGAGTGTCAGACTCTTACTGACTAAAAACCACCTCGTTCCTTCTCCTGCACGTCGAGCCGGAGCCCCGGTTACCCGTTAGGTTCTCCGCGACGCCTTGCTGGAGGGTAGGCTGTCATATGGGTACTGGGGCCCTGGCTTTAAGCAAGTGTTGGAGGGAATGGGGTGGTTTTTAGTTAGTAAGAGTTGTAGGAGTCACTTCGTCAAGAGTAATTTGAGGACTTTTTACCCACCCAACAAAAACGGGAGCGGCATAATCGGTATTTGCACGCGGGCGCGGGACGCGGGGAAGATTGAGATGAAATTTAGGACTTTGGTAGATGGTATGGTCTGTATGTCTGTCATAGACCACTTTTTATGTAACGGGCACGCGGGCGAAGTCGCAGGCTAGTATAATATGATATCATACATAACACAATGCTTAAACCTTTTCCGTGTCGCGGAGAACCTATTGGGTAACCGGGGCTCCGGCTCGAAGTGCAGGCGAAGGAACGGGGTGGTTTTTAGTCAGTAAGAGTCTGACACTCCCTCCCGCCTCACCCAGGCGGGAGCAGTCATTCGATGATTTTCCCCCCTTAAAAAAACCTTTTCCGTGTGAGAAGAGGCTTTTGGTGAGCAGTGGAACAGTTGTTCTGATGGATAATCTTATATATATAAAAGAAAGTCGTGTTAGTTACACCACTCAAGAATGGCAGAATAGATTTGGCTGAAAATTGGTAGGGAGGTAGCTTAGAGCCAGGAGACCGACATAGGTTACATTTTAACCAAAATTTTTTTTTTTCACTTATTACGGAAAATCACGAACGGGGACGGGAAAAATGGGATTACGCGTTTGAAGTCGCGGGCAGAAGCTAGTATGATATACAATCTTACTTCTTACTAACATTATCCAAGCAAAAATTTGTTCGTTTGTTTGTATGTCTGTTACTCAATAACTTCAAAACAGCTGAAGAAATCGGGATGAAATTTGGAACAGGGGCACATTATGGTTTGTATTAACACATAGGCTACTTTTTATCCCACGGTAACGCGGGCAAAGTCACTCGCAGACGCTAGTAATATGATAAGTGGCTATAACCAAAAGAACAGCGCTTCATATAATATATTAAACTAGACATGTTTAAGATAGCATCAATTCTTGGTTTTCATTGCTTTTATTTATATTGCTTTTTAACTTAATAATTAATCTAAATAACTATAATCCATTATATGTCTGATTCAGGCACAATACTAAACGCCCGTGTCTTATTCATTTTTTTTTTTGTATGTTAAAAGATTGAGCTCTATTCTACAATCAAGCCTTTGAACGTTTGATAGTTGTGGCAAAATTACATTATATTGTATGGTCATCAAGATTAAGAGTGTGTACCAAATATCAGATCAATCTATCGTCAGGAAAAAGGGAAAATTCCATTCACTAAATTGGCCCAAAACAATCAACCGGGGCAGGCTAAAAAAAAACATTTAAAAAGTACATTTTGACAGCAAACAAGATGGCGATTGGCGGTAGAACGAAGATTACGCGCGAAATATTTTGCGATAATTTCGTTGAATATGACGTGAAATCTTTATTTTTACCTTTGGATGTGTTACAGAGATTTTATTTCAGTCCTTTATACTTATTTAGAGATAATTCAATATCACCAATTCGTCGATCGACGATTTTCATAACATTATTTTTTGTAATGGCGTCAATTTTAATGTTTTACGTAAGATTCCGTTATAGAATGTCTGCAATACCTTTCAATATTGGTATAAATTATTTCGATGTAATATTCCAGCCGACGGGAATATTGCTAAACTTTATACCATGTATTTTAAATAAAAACCTACATATGTATATGGTATTAAAATTCTCGAAAATACATCGATTTTTAAGCGACGACAAGACAACGAAAAAAATGATATTTTATAACTGGTGCAGTTTAATATCTTTGATAACGAATATAAGTTTGGTATTATATTTGAATATTAAATTCAATACGAGTGAATATTATAATATATTAACTGGAATTTTCACCGAAAACATGGATATACCATTGGTCTGTGTTACCAGAGTAATAAAAATGTTATGCCATAAAATGTTTTTAATGAATTTGTTAATTTTGGAGCGGCAAACGGAAGGAATAGACAGACGACGTTATTACGACAAAATCATTGAGATTTTCACACATATTTTGGATTTTTATGATGCAACTAGAATTTGTTTTCAAGCTCAGGTAAGAATCTTATTTTACATTACTATGACCATCGATCATAGAGGCGGCGACGCGCGGGACGGGCGTATAAAAATCCACGGCCGCACGAGCGCCGCGCTTCTACACACTCGGTTCACCAAACGCCATAGCTTTCGGGCGTTTCTTTGTGTTCCTCTCGCGCGCCTCTCGTACACACGGGTAAATATTTCAATAGAAATGCGAATTAACTATTCTGTTCAATCAAATAAAGAACGGGTTGCAAACTTGAAAATATACGTCACAAAAAAAAAATCCAATCGGGTCTTGGTTGCAATTTGTAGATTAACTCGTCGAGTACCGGTTTTGTAGACACAATTATAGAACAATAGGTTGCGGTCACCGGTGACCGCTTGGTGTTTGACAGTTTAAATCTATGTATTGTACAGTCTTCTGTTTTACTCAAAATAACCCGACAGAGCTTCGACAATCTTATTAATAATTATAAATGCGATAGTTGTGACTTTGTGTATGTTTGTAACACAATTTCATCAAAACGGCTGAACGAATCGAGATGAAATTTGGAACAGGGATAGATTATGGTCTAGAATAACACATAGGGTCATTTTGGTCACACGGGAATGCGAGCGAAGCCGCGCGCTGAAGCTAGTTTGATGTTAGTAACTTTACAATTCATTCATTATGGTACAGGTCGGGCAAACGAGCAGACAGGCGGCGCCGATTGCTTACCATCAGGTGATCTGTCTACCCGTTTACCAAGTTACCCCATAAAAAACATCCCAATTAAGTTCATAAGCCTAGATATTGTCTTGAAATTGATCCAGCAATATTCTTTTAATATTATTTCAGATTTTATTCCACTTCGTCGCGTCATTCACTTATAATCTAATACATATAAGTGGAACTATAGAAATTGCCAAACTTGTAAGTACCTATATTGGTTTGTTATTTAACTTGCAAATGCAATGTCGCTCAATAATGTATGTAAATGCAAACTAGGCAAGAAGGCCGCCAGTGCCTTTAGCCAAACGCCACTTTAGCGCTTGTCTACAGAGAGAGTAGAAAACTAAATGTATGGGGATGACACTGACAAGCGTCAAAATTTACGTCAATCCTTACTTAATATTATAAATCGGAAAGTGAGTTTGTTTGTTTGTTCCGCTTTCACGCCGTAACTACTAAACCGATTGCTTTGAATTTTTGCAGACGTAAAGTTAGAAGTCCGGATTAAATAATAGGGTACTTTTTATCCCGGAAAAATTTGATATACTCGAGGGAAAACGAAATTATTGGTATAGATGGCGCTGTGTGTATTGGTATATGTCACGTAGGCTACTTTTTATCCTTTTGTGACGGGAGCGAAGCCGCGGGTAAAAGCTAGTTCCATATAATTTGGTTTTCTACTCTACATGTAGACAAGCGCTAAATGGCATTTGGCTACAGCTGCTGGATACAGAGGGGCGCCGCGAGACGCGCGTGTACTACTATACATAGAGTGACGTAGGCGACAAAAATATTAGGGGCGCCTATGAAGTGCTTGACTAGGGCGCTCTCTTTTCAATACACCTCTGTGATGATTACAACGGTTCTAAGTGGTTCTCCCATTTAAAAATAAATTATTTTTATTGACTGCCTCGTTGGCTGAGTGGTCGCAAGTGCGACTGCCGGGCAAGGGGTCTCGGGTTCGATTCCCGGGTCGGGCAAAGTATTACTGGGAGTTTTCAAAAATCTCAGTGGTAGCACGGAGTCTGGAATTGTGCCCGGTATATGGCAATAGGCTCACCCCCTATTACATGGGACTCATAACATAAATAGTGACAAGTAGGTGTTACATTGTACAGTGGCATTAATTGCCGTAATGTGCACCTCTGCCTACCCCTTCGGGGATAAAAAGGCGTGATATTATGTTATGTCATTTTTATTTCAGAATGACGAAGCTAATTTGACGATTTTTATTTTGATATGCATTGCATGGATGGTTAAGGATTATTTATTTTACAAATTATGCTATGTATGGAAATTGAACAATTTTATATTGCGATCGAAAACGTTCAGGAGACCTGCACTGTAATGCTGAAATCTCATTGTAATGGTATGTATTTGATAGTCAAAAGTCAAAATCAAAGCATTAATTTCAACAAAACCATAGACACGTACTTTGGAAACGATGAAAGTCATAATCAAAATCAATATCAAAGTCATAGTTGAAAATCAATGTTGCGTTAGAGTTGAAAGTTAAAGCCAACATGCCATTGACTTGACTTGAAAGTCAAACTTTGACTTTGACTTTCAACGCCAACATCAAAGATCAAAGTTGAAAGTCAATATTAAAGTTATATTATAATATAAATCCATATTGTATTAATTACAATTATTTTACATATTTACAGAATACGAAAAAAAGCTCTTCAAGAATATGAAACGTATATACCGAGCAAGATTTAAAAAAATGTATTTATGCGAAATGTTGTGCCTGGACCACTGCCTACCCCTCAAAATGTTAAATGTTATCACATATTATGTACTTGTTCTATTACAATTCTCCATTATATGAGACAAAATATAAAACCATCTGTTACTACTCAATTTTAACATAACATCACGTCTTTTATCCCCGAAGGAGAAGGCAGAGGTGTACATTTCAATTACAATGTAACACCCACTTTTCACTATTTATGTTATGAGTCCCATGTAATAGGGAGTGAGCCTATTGCCATATACCGGGCACAATTCCAGACTCCGTGCTGCTACTGAGATTTTTTTTAAAACCCAGTAATACATTGTCCAACCCGGGAATCGGACCCGAGAGCCCTTGTCTGGCAGTCGCACTTGCGACCACTTGGGCAACGAGGCATTCACTTAATTTTAAGTCGCGTTTAAATATACATAGTTGTCATTACAAATTCTTTGTTAAGTGACACGTGGGTAGGTATATTCAAGTACCTACAACTTAAAATACATTTTTTTTAAGGGGGGAAAATCATCGAATGTCTGCTCCCGCCTGGGTGAGGCGAGAGGGAGTGTCAGACTCTTACTGACTAAAAACCACCCCGTTCCTACTCCTGCACTTTGAGCCGGAGCCCCGGTTACCCGTTAAGTTCTCCGGGGCTCCGTATCGGGCATCTTCCCTACTGGGCCCCATCTGTGGTGGTCTGACGTCTGACGGCGACTATAGAGGCTTTAATAAAATAAAATTATAGTGGCTCCGTCTATGTGTCCAGGTACCTATATATTCATTTCATTTTTTTTTGGGACAAGCCCGTCAAAATATCCCAATCCCGCTGCAACTCCTGTACACCAGGATCTACAGTAGATACAACCATGAAAACACCGGAACATTGAAGTCTGGCGCGTCCCAGGGACATGAGTAACTGTCTTGGTTCCCGCAACGAAGTGAATCAGAAGATATTATAAGAGGAGAAGAAAACAACGATAGTTTCTACTTCCCTCGGTGAACTAGGACTAGATTCCTCAAGATCCCTAGGCATTAAGCCCACCTTGTGCATTAGTGTGTGCATGAAGTCTTTTAAAAGAAAAATAAATAAAAAAATATACCTGAGGTATCTAGTAACATCCCTGCCGGCGACATCGACCCTCATGATGCTGTGTGGCATGGCAAACCCTTCGTAGATTGGAACTGAATGCGTGACCCCGTCACCGGAGTCCAACACTACACCCGTCGTACGACCGGTCGCGTATCTGTAAAAAAAACATATGTATAATTAACAGATAACAGACTCACATCACTGTTCGAGATAGCTGGATCATTTTCGAGCCGTGCTCGGGGCTCATATACACAAGCACTATTTTCAAACTATGTTCACTCAAAGGCTTTATTTAACTTAACAAATTTTTATTTAACTTAAATTCGTATTTTTTTATACAAGGTGTTGTTTTAAAGCCGCGTCATTTTCTAGGAGGTAACTCAACTATCGATTGTGAGTCCGAATCAATAAAAAATATTGTAGGTAAATATTTTTCATTTTTCTGTAAATTACGGAAATCCGTAAGTGCGAACTACACGCCGCCATCTTGTAACTAGCTCTATAACGCGGCTTAACACACACAAACTCAAACACTTAATTGATATTATTCCTAATTCCGTAAAACTCAAATAAGAAGAATTGTTGTCGCTTTTTCTGAAATACTGTCGAACTTAAACGATTTATTATAGCCGTATTTTTAACTATTGTCCCGAAATTTTCTCTTACATTGATCCTTTATGACTTCTGTGACATGCCCCCGAGAAATGACACGGCTTCAAAACTACACCTTGTATATATAAAACTAATTGCACAGAGTTGAATAAGTATTAGTCCTCTTCATTTTAGACTAAATTTACTATAATAGTTTGCTGGATTTTTTATGGCACAAGCCGGTAAACGAGCAGACGTATCAGCTGACGGTAAGCAATCTGCGCCGCTCATGGACACCTGAAACACCAGAGGCACTAGAAGTGCGTTACCGGTCTTTTGGAAATTGGAAATTTGAGGATTGTAGCCTGGGGATTGGGGAGACTGAGGAGGGGGTAATTGGGTCTTCGGTAACTTCAATCACACGGCGAAACACAACGCAATTTTCCTTTAGGTAACCGAGGGCTGGGCTCGCTGTCATTGCAGCGGTAAGTCCCCTCATTGAGAAGTGGCTTGAGAGACAGCGTCCTCACCTACCGCTGACGCCAGGTGCTTACCGGATACGGGAGTTTCGGTAGGTTTTTTTTTTTTCGCTTTGGGCGGGAGGAAACGCCGGGGTATCATCACTGCGAGGACCGGCTGGAGGATATGGTGGAGCATACCGTGGCGGCGAATCGATTGTGATGATATATGATACAGTTGTACAGCCGTATAATATACCTTGGCTTTGCCAATTAATTCAATTTTTTTTTATGACATATTCCGGTAAACGAGCCGACGGATCACCTGATGGTAAGCAATCGGCGTCGCCCATGGACACCTGGAACACCAGAGGCGTTACAAATGCGTTACCGGCCTTTTGGGGAATTAGGAGTTTGAGGATTGTTGGGGATTCAGGAGGTATTTGGGCCTAAGTAATTCAAACTACTTAAAAAACTCAATTTATACAGAAGTCACTATTTCACGCGGACGAAGTCGCGGGTAGCAGCTAGTTAGATTATATTATATGGTCGTCAAGATTAAGAGTGTGTACCAAATATCAGATCGATCTGTCGTCAGGAAGGGGGGAAATTCCAATGACTGAATTTGACCCAAACCAACAAATGACTTGACTTAATATCCTGTGTCCCCTAGATGGGGCAGAGGGCGTCCACTGAAGTTCTCCATCGCGATCTGTCTTGAGCTTCACCTCACTCCACGTCATACCGATGCTCGTCGCTTCTGCCAGTACGGTGCGACGCCAGGTTTGCCGAGGACGGCCACGCTTTCTTTTCCCTTGGGGATTCCAATCCAAGGATCGCTTGGGTATGTGGTCAGGATCCCTTCGGAGCGTGTGCCCTATCCATCCCCACTTGCGGCGCTTGATCTGGCGGTCGATTGGCATTTCTCCAAAAGCTCTACGTTGGAGATGGTCTCGGGCCGGTAATTTCCGAGAATGCGACGCAGGCATCGGTTAACGAACGAAACAAACAAATGGGGGAAGCTAAATAAAACTGTTGAAATATACTTACAAGCTAAGTACTGCTTGCATGGACAGGAACAACGCTGGTACATTGAACGTTTCAAAGAATACTTCGGCTGCCTTCTCCCTATTCCGTCTAGGGTTTAACGGTGCTTCGGTCAGCAAAACTGGATGCTCTTCGGAGAATGTTGATAGTTGATCCTGAAAGTAACAGATACATAACATCACGTCTTATGCCCGAAGCGGTAGGCAGAGGTGCATATTACCGCATTTAACCCGTCGAGCGTCCGCGTTCCTTATGATCCAACGGGTGCACACGTGACATTTGGAGCATTTTTTCTTATGATTCACCGGGTGCTCATAAGGACGCTCGAGGGGTTAATGTCAATGTACAATGTAACACCCACTTTTCGCTATTTATGTTATGAGTCCCATGTAATAATGGGGAAATTCCACAACTTGATTCCCCCTAGTCCTTTCCATCGTCGTACCACAAGACAATTGGCGAAGCGTCACCGATTCATGGTAGATGTTCCGCCCACACGCACGAAGCGTTCGCATCAAGCTTTCTTGTGCGTACTGCTAAAGAGTGGAATTCTTTGCCAGAGTCTGTGTTTCCTGAAGGGTATAACCTGGGAGTCTTCAATGCCCGAGTGAATAGGTTGCTTATGGGACGACGTGCTCCATCGTAGATTGCATCATCGTGCACCACCAGGCGAGATAGTGGTCAAAAAAATAGGGGGTGAGCCTATTGCCATATACCGGGCACAATTCCAGACTCCGTGCTACTACTGAGTTTTTTTTAAAAAAACCTTGTAACACTTTTGCCGACTGGGGATTGAACCCGGCCCTACAGTAGCTCCTTGCATCGTCTTCGCCAGCGTTACGGAGGGATAAAAAGTAGCCTGCGTCTTATAACAGACCATAATCTACCCCTGTTCCAAATTTCATCTCGATCCCTTCAGCCGTTTTGACTTGATCGAGTGACATACAAACAAACAAGTAAGATTTGAAAAGAGTAATTATTTTGTTTGGACACTTATAATATTCAGTTTTATAAGTGTTGCTGTATTAGTGTATTTCTATTCATTGAACAGTTCAATCAGGTATATGAGACCTGCAGGAAGAATAAGGATGGTCAATGATTTTTTTTTTATGGCACGAGCCGGTAAGCGTACAGATCACCTGATGGTAAGCAATCTGAGCCGCCCATGGACACCTGAAACACCAGAGGCGTTACAAGTGGGTTACCGCCGTTTTGGGAATTGGGAATTCGAGGATTGTGGGGGATTCGGGGAATGGGGAGACTAGAGAGGTGGGGTAATTGGGACTCCAGTAACCTCACTCACATGACGAAACACAATTGTTTCACGTCGGTTTTATGCAAGCCCTGGTGTCGATCTGGGGGCTTACTCTTGAATCCAATTCCGATCGATCGACATTGGTATTGTGAAATTTCGTACTCTTGAGTTGTAACACTAGCGCCCATTGCATTCATATTGCGTGGATATTGAATGAACTAAATGGTATTGAGTTTGGTTTTATATTCCGTACTCTGAATGCTACTTTAACAGGTATGATAGAGGTTGTACAGTTTTGACATTGAATGATTATTGAGATTTTATTGGATTGAAATTGCATTGACATTGAGATTGGTTTCAAGAGTAAGCACCCTGGTCCAGACGACCCATTCCTGCCGAAGTATGGCTCTCCCACACTTAACTGATGATGGAACATGATCTTACCTTGCTATAAATATAATTCCACACTCTTTCCATATCATTCCAGTCGGTGACGATGCCGTGTTCCATGGGATATTTGATGCTCAGGAGTCCTCGATGCTCCTCAGCCCTGGGACCGACGAAGAGTTCCCCTTCTAGTGCTCCAGCCATAACTCTCACGTGCTTCGGTCGTCCGATGCTGTGGAATTATGAAATATTTGTAAATAACCTTGCCCTAGAGGGGGATTCAACCTAGAGTGCTCTAGGAAAGCACCCATAGGCTATCTTAACTTTTTTTAGCGCCACCGTCAATCTATGGGCAGTCGGGCATGTAACCTGGCGCCCTTAGCCCTTGTCTAGTTTGCCTTTCTTGTTTTTTTTTAATGGGACAAGCCCGCCACAGCCTCCGTAACCGCTGCAACTCCTGTAAGCCAGGATCTGCAGTAGACATAACCATAAAAACACCGGAACAATGAAGTCGCAGTCGAAGCACGTCCCAGAGACATGAACAACTGTCTTCCCACAAATATTAAAAAAAAAAAGTGACCACTCTCTACTAATGTCATTGTAGACCTTATTTCCGAAGTTTAGAGATTACTTTTATGTGAATAAATGTTATGGATTTTACATAATTATGGATTAGAACAAATTTAGGGTCTGTTATTTCAACAGGTTAAGAAGCTAATTGACTGCCTCGTTGGCCGAGTGGTCGCAAGTGCGACTGCTGGGCAAGGGGTCCGGGGACGGGCAAAGTATTACTGGGTTTTTAAAAAATTCTTAGTAGTAGCACAGAGTCTGGAATTGTGCCCGGTATATGGCAACAGCCTCACCCCCTATTACATGGGACTCATAACATAAATAAGGAAAAGTAGGTGTTACATTGTACAGTGGGATAATGCGCACCTGTGCCTACCCCTTCGGGGATAAAAGGCGTTAAATTATGTATGTATGTATATATAAGAAGCTAATCTCAGGAACTACTAGTTGGAATGAAATATATTTAGGATGGATTTTTTATCGAACAAGATATAAGCTATAAAACATCACACTACGATTAATAGGAGCTCAGTTAACAGCCTGAGTAAACTGTCACTTAACTAACCCCACATTGCTACTGTTGGGTGTCACCTGCAGTTTAGTCAAAACTAAAAATGATGTTAAAATCTTAGTAGTAGCATGGAGACTGGAAATGTGCCCGGTATATGACAATAGGCTCACCCCCTGTTACATGGGACTCATAACATACATATTGAAAAGTGGGTGTTACTTCTGTGTGCATCTCTGCCTACCTCTTAGGGGATAAAAGGCGAGATGTTATGTTATTTTGTTAAAAATGATGTTAACCCATAAATCACCAAGCGGTCACCGGTGACCGCTTTCCACTAATATTACATTACATTATAGACCTTATTTGTCATGTTTAGAGACTACTTTTGTATGACCAAATTTAGGGGGTGGATTTCAACGGGTTAAGTCACCTATATTTGCTTCGGAGTTCGTTTAAATTAAGGAGAGGTTGGTGACAATAGGTGTATATATTAGAAATACTGCTGCCCGCTCTCTGTGAAATTTGTAGTGACTTAGTTGGGTATACGACACCCGCAGGAGGAGTAGGGGTGGTAACAAATATATTTTACTGTCAGCCCACGGCTAAGAAACAGACATTCTCCACAAACTTTCACATATATTTTTATGTAGACAGTACCTAAGCATAACCAGTAACTTATTTATGAAGTTTCAAGGGAGAGGTACTTACTAATTGGGGAATCTGCATTTTGGTATCTGATCGCCAGCAAAACCGGCTTTGATCACTCCGGAGCCCTGTCGAAACGTGACAACAATAAATAATCATCGGAACCCCGACAAAAATGGAATATGACATCTATACTAACTATGACTCATTTTCGACAACTATTGTATGAAATCTTATTGGAAAACCATTAGGAACAGTAAAAAACTATCGAATAAGAGACTAGAAGTAATTTTTTAATATTCTCATATCGATTTTAATAAAATATTGACAATAAATTTTGCATCGTCGACTCGACACAAATTCGTAAGCGTAACAAAATTGGAGTTTACAAAGTAGATATTTACATTATCAATTACGACGGGCTGGTTTACAATCACATCGTTAAGCTCCATATTTGCTAATTTAATTATTTAATTCGGTTTTCAGCGACAATTTCTATTTATTTCACTATCGATAAATCCACATTCGGGTACGTTTTTCCACAATCAACGTTTCAGTGACAAAATTTAATAATATTATCAACAGAAACTATCGCTATCTTTCTTACTCGTTCTAATATTTAACATCTTTTGTCCTACTCTAATGTATCATGTTGTAATTCTCTTCGGGTACTGGAACTTAATAAAATGACATCAGATCTATAGTGCTTCTATATTAAAAAAATTTCTAATGTCAATAATGTTGCAACTTATGGACGTTATAAACCATTTTTTCAGCATTCTTGATACTTGACTAAAACATAATAAAAATGGAAACGATACAATTAAAATAATAAAAAGTACTTTTTCTATGAGTTGCCGCTTGGTAACCAGTAAGCAAAAGAGTCACTGGAACGGATCAATGTTAGTCAGATTTGGAACACCGTAATACCGTTACTTGGTTATGAATTTTTAGATATTGTATGGAGTATATTTGAACATAAAAAACTACTGCGTAATAGACAGACATACAGCTTGGCAAAAAAGAGTTCGGAATAATAGAGGTCGGTACTATCGTATCTCTGGCAACACTACGATTATGTCCCAACCAAATTGTCCCAAGTGGGTGATTCAGTCCAAGTCAGTATAAGATCATGACTAGTTCCAGCTATCGGCAACTTATTATACTCTTTGTATCGGCGCGTAGCCAAGCTGTACATATCATCTCGTCACGCATAATGGGGTAGGCACAGGGCAGTAACCAGTAATAATGGAGTACACGCTGGCACTAGCATAATATAATTAATTCCTTGTTCACTACATATATTATCTACATTCATCAATCTCTTTACTTTGATTATTTCTAAAATATAATAGTTTAAAATATTGAGGTTTCTTTATAATCGGGTATAGTTTTTTTTTCTACTCGGCTTTTGGGAAGCTGCCCAAAATCACATCTATTAGAGTCCATTTCACGAAAGAAGTCCCGCGGACAATTGTGGAACTAAATTTGACAAATGGGGAGTTCGGCCATGTTGTCGTTTGTCGATGTTGTCAAGGTGGGTTTGTTGTGGTAGATATTTTGTGAGTTTATTATTAAATTAGTGCATTATAAGGTTTATTTACGATGCCAAAAGTTGTAAAAAGTGCAGGTCGAGAAATGATATTAAAAGTGAAAGAGTTCTGTGAAGCGGAACAGAAGAATCGCAGCGTTTTAATACCATTATACAATGTTCCCAAAAGAGTCGCCGCCATAACAGGTAAATTTTGGGGCTGCCATATTAAACATATTTTTTCCTCAACTTACAACAAAAAACTGTAAAATTGTATTCAACAATAATGTAATTAAATGCGGAAAAAGTCACTGTTAGATTTTTTTAATTGTTCATTTTATTGCAGGTGTGTCGGAGAGTCGTGTGTTATAAACAGACGGGTAGCGGTTAAAAACGTGGGCCAAGATCCAAAAGAATTGTACGCCTAACAGAAGAGGCGTTCGAGACTGTTACAGCGGAAGATTGGGCAGTTCAATGCAAACATGTACAGCATTTGGAGGAAGAATATTTAAAAAATGATGGTCTTATGGATGAAGAAATGCATCGATTTATTATATCTACGGCTAGTGATAATGAAACAGAATCTAATTCTGTTTCTATTCACTCTTCTGACAGTGATCATAGTATGACCGATCATAATTATTCAATAAAACTTTAATAAAACTTTTTAAATGTTATTTTATGTTTCTAATTTGATGTTGGTTG